TGTGACTGGGATATTTCACTCAGCATAATGTTCTCCAGAGTCAACCATTTTGAATAATATTGCATGAGTTCCTTGTTTTTTAATGAAGCGGCATAACTTGATGTAGTGATTTGAATTTTAAAATAGGAAGAGATAAGAAATAGATAAAAGAAGGGGCGCTCTGGTGGCCTAGTGGCAAGGAACTGCAACTACAATCCCAGTGGCTCACGGTTCGAATCCACCAGATGCTGTGCCGGGAAAAGGAGGGACAATCTCCTCCTGTACCAGTCAGATCTGATTTGACGGTACACTCACAAAAAAAAAAAAGAAATAGATAAAAGAAAAAAGGATGAAATTATTTAAGATTTACTGGAGGAAAATTGCCAAATAATAAGAAAAAGGAGCACATATGCATTCAGGAAGCTAAGTGCACCCCAAACAGCATGTAAAGCAAAAGAAAAACAAGCAATAATCAAACTTTGCAAAAATGAAAAACCAAAAATACTAAAAACAGCACCAGTTGCTGACAGGAACTGGTAAGACTAAGCTCTGATTTCTCAACAGAAACCATGCAGGCTGGAAGGATGGTAGATCTAAAACTCTGAAAGAAAAAAAATTACCAGTCAAGAATTTTATGCCAAGTAAAATTGGCCCTCAGGTAGGTTGGTGAAATAAGGATATTTCCAGATTAAAAGAAGGTAAAGATATTTGTGTAAGCTAGACCAAATATGTAAGGAATACTGAAGAGAGTTCTCTGAACTACAAACCAGAAATAAGACAGATGACTGGAATTAACATAACACCGTTTAGAACCTGACCCAGACACTGAAATCCACCAAGTATGGGAAACCAGATGCATCAGTCTATAAATTAGAACAACTACAGTGCAGAAGAGAGAGCTCTGATGGTCTGGTGGTAAGCTGCTCTCCAATCCTAAGGCCACATGCTTCATATCTGCCAGCTTCTGACTCAGTGGTACATAACAGCAAGAACAATGTAAAAAGAAACTCATATAAGTAGTATAATAACAGAACTTCGAAATAAGAGGAAATTAAAGCGGTTTCAAGATAAACTGTTAAAGTCTGAGGAAAGGAATAAACCTTCATCAGAATAAAAAAGGAGAAAACCATAAAGATTTAGTAAAGACCAAGACAGTAATGAGGAAAATGATTAAAAAAGCCATAAGCTAAATTAATTCAGCATAGAAAAGCGGATGCAATGAAGAAATTAGCAGCACTAGGTATCTTTTTGCAAAAAATTGAAACAACACTCATGCACCATGCAATGTTAAAAAAACTAACTGAAGATGAAGACCTAAGTGTAAAATCTAAAGCTATAAAGATTCTCAAAGAAAATAGAGATCAATGGTGATTAATTTTGTAAAGCACAGAGTATGGGAATGATGATATGAAACAATGTAAGTGAAGGGATGTGTGAAACACAAGTTATATCAGTGAAGTACAATGTATATGAATTTTGTCTGCAAACAAGTATAAAATTTAAAAAAATACTGAGGCCGACTTGAGGGCTCTAATTGACAGCATTCCTAGACTGTCAGATAGAACTGGAAATGCACAGTTAGCCAGAAGAGAATAAAGATGATTGAGATATCCTAAAAGTTAAGTATATATAGCAAATGACTTCTAAAGAGTAAACAGAGAACCTGCAGATTGGGAAAAAATGTTTAACAGTGACACATTTTACTAGAAGTTCATCTCTAAATTTTGTAGAAAACTCAACAGCTCAACAAGGTGACAAGTCAATCACCGTGGGCAGAGGCCATGAAAGGAAACTTGACCAAATGACAACAAACCTGTGAAGACATGCACCAACATCATTAGCTAGAGAAAACAGATGCTGATCAAAACAGCAGTTAAATATTACCACATGTCAACAACAGTAAGAAGAGTTCAGCACGATATCAAATAAATGCTGATGAGAGAGTGTGGACAGATTGAAATTCTTCTACACCCTTGATGCAAGTATGAAGTAGTGCCACCATTTTGGAAAACAGTTGGCACTTCCTTAAAAGTTGGGAATGAAAGTACCATTTGCTCCAACAACCCTGATATTAAATATATACTCTTAAAAAAAGAGCTACAACACAAATTGACATACACATGTACCCATGCTTATTGCATCGTTGTCTACAAAGGATTAGAAACAACCTGAGTGGGCATGAAAGGACAAGTGGGTAAAAAAAAAGCCCTGGCCAAACATAAAACCAAATATGGTACTTTTCAAATAATGGAGTATTATCCATTTCTGAAGAAACAAGAATTCTTGAAATACCCTAAAATATGAATGAGTGTAGAACAAATTGTGCTGAATGACATAGGCCAGACACAAGATTATTATGATGTTAAAAATAGACCATTGTTATAAAACTAAGCAATGGTTTACACTGAGTCCATCTTGTAGGGATAACAGGAATAGGAAGGTAGGGAGAGAGGAGTGAAACTAGTTCAAGTTGGGTTAAAGGAAAGGCAACACACAGTGTTTGATGAATTCATGCAGTGCATCGTCATGTTGGAGTGGATTCACAGCTGACCCTCCAGCAGGTTTTTGCAAATTGTAAATTACATGGGAAAAGAGTACTCATCTTTCTGCTGCAGAGCCATTGGTGTATCCTAACCAGTATTTGTAAACCTTAAAAAAAAGTTCGCTGTCTCATCTCATATAGTGAGTATCAAACTGGGGACGACATTTGGTTTTTTTGGTTTGGTGATTTTTTTTGGTGTGATTTCTTGGTTGTTTTGTTTTGTTTTTTTCATTGAAAATGGGTTTTGTAGTGCATAGCACACCTTGCTACAAATGGTAAAGTTGGTAGTGCTAGTTCCTCTGCATAAGACAAATGGGTAATGTCTGTCAAGATTTATAGCCAGCAAATGGAGATTTGTACACCAGTGTTCATAGCAGCACTATTCACCATTGCAAGAACATGGAAACAGCTCACATGTCCAAGCACAAATGAATATATCGAGAAATTATGGTATATTGAGAAAATATGGAATACTATGCGGCGCGCAGGAGCAATGACTTTGTAAATTATTACCCAACTTGGGAGGGACTGGAGAGCATTATGCTGAGTGAACTAACTCAGTCCCACAAGGATAAAGATTGTGTAAAACCATTATTGTAGAATGAGTATAAGGATCCAAGAGGGGTGGATGAGGGCGGAAGCAGAGGGATGAGGATGTGCAGGGGGAGAGGAGGATCAATCATGGGGTTGAATAATTTGATGGGGGAGGTGAGGGAAATTGAAAGAATATGTTCTCGAAAACAATGTATTAGAATTTTTATAAAAAAAATACTATTTTTGTGTGTGTGCACTGTCAAATTTGATCTGACTGGTACAAGAGGAGATTGTCGCTCCTTCTCCAGCAGAGTATCTGGTGGATTCAAACCACTTATCTCTGGGATTGCAGTGCAGCTTCTTGCCACCAGAGCTCTCTTGTTTTCGAATTTTGTAAATAAACTAGTATAAATTAAAAATAAAAAGATTTATAACCAGGGAAATGATTGTGGGCTTTACATGACTAACACCAGAGACCAATAATGTAAATATTTTGCTCTTTCATGTGTAGCCTCACACATTCAGTTCATATTGTTGCTTCGTTTTTAACCTTAATAGCTACACAGAAGTGTGTTTGAACATATTAGTAATTGAGAATTCTCACTAATTAATCTTTGACTACTTCTAAACTTCATTGTTTTCCCTCAGTTGAAAATAACATTGTATTTTTCACATTATGATACTAATGATCATTCATTACCAAAGAACAACTCAGAGAATACATTAAGGTGCTACTCAGACCCGATTTTAGTGGTCTCTAGAGTGAATATGTTTTGTTTCATATGCCTTCATAGTTACTTTCTAACTGTATGTAGTAACTTGAACTTATATATCATCCACTCTTCTTATACCAAACAATAGGAACACAGCAGCATGCATACATAGATACCCCTAGATTAGGGCACAGAACCATAGATCTGCAGTGATGCACATGACATGATGATTTGATAGGACATTGGCAGTACTTTTAAAGTAACTGATTGGCAATGTGAAGTTGCTTTTTTACTTAGAGAGTAGAGGTATTTGTTTGTTTTCTTAATTATACTAGTTTATTTACAAAATTTAAATTCTTTTCAAACTGATTCTTCCAGTTTCCCTCAAAACACCCCCCCCCTCAGTTTAGTTTGAAGGATGTATTGTTTTAGAAACAGATTGCTAGGCTTTTCTTTTTAGATGATTCTAGGTAGATTCCAGCTATATTTTAATAGTTGAGTACTTAACTGTTTATATCACCAGGGACTAAATTTACTCATGTGAATGTAAACCTTGACAATTATTTCCAGCTGTGTACCCATCCTGTACACGATACAGAACATTTCCCATTTCCAAAACTGATAGCTCCTCTTTCTAATTCTGACTTAAGTTGAACCTCCATTGGTTTTCAGAGCCTGTGAACCTTTATGGAAGAAATTCCTACATCTTTATCCCAAAGAACAACTGTTGGCTTCACACTGCTGATACTCAGTATTAATCCTACTTCAAGAGAACAGTTCCATCATTCTAAAAGGACTCCAGACTCTTGGTGGCACAGGGGTGCTCAACTGCTAACTGAAAGGTTGGCAGTTCAGAGTCACCAAAAAAGTGACTTTGGAGAAAGTTTTCAACCTAGGAAACCCTATGGGACTGTCAGGTTGCTGGGACTCAGAATTAACTGATGGTAACTTCAGGAGCAGTTTAAAATATATAATAGTCCTTCCCCTTTGATCTGCTTTGTGCCCATGCCAGCTCTGTAGGGCTTAGGCTGGGTACCTGTGCATGGTCTATATCTCTCCTGCCTATCCATATATGTTACTGATGTAGTTACCTAGGGAGTGAGACATACAAATTAACTAAGAAGGACTTGTAACATTTTTCTCTACAATATGAGTTGTTTCTGGCAGTTTCCTCTTAACACTGCTCCCTCTTTTCTTGACCTAAAATAGTATAATAAATGATGCTTTCTTCTAAAAAATTTTCACCTGACATCCCATAGTTTATGATTACTGTGTGACTTATTTATCTGCTTCTTGTTTATTTGCTTTCCAGGGAACATACACTGATGAGAAGTCAAAGGCTTCCCACCACATATATCCATACCCTTCCTCGCAAGAGGATGGTAAGTTAGTTTGTGATTGCAGACTGATCCTCACATACTCTGTTAGATGTTAGTGTCTGTCAGCAGAGTGTAAACAGTATAAGAAGTTATATTTTTTTTAAATTATTTTTCACTGAAAGAATTTATGTATTACATAAATTTCATTTCAGAAATTATTTAAATTTCTAGTTTTCTTTAGTTAAGAAATACAGCATCTTGCTGACTTAGGGTAAGATTTTTAATTTTCATCCATGTAGAAAATTTATAGGTCATCATATCAGACAAGTTAACTATTAACATTAGCTAAAATCATATGTCATCATACCAGACAAGTACATTTATTGAAAGATTAATTTTGTACTGTCCTACTTTCAAACCATTGGACTTATTTTGTTTACCTACTGGTCATTATCTGTTGCTAATGTCTAGTCATGCCTTAAGTATCAAACCTCTTTGAATGATTACTATATGACTCTTGCTTTCTGAAAATTACGTTATAAGACATCACTGTGGAAAATCAGCTGTTAATTGGTTTGTTAAATTTACGGTGGTTTAGCTCTGCAGATTTTGGAAGCTTATTTTTTTAATTATCCAAGAGTTTGTCAGGGATGTTGACCCTTGCTAACCATTCTTTCAGAGGACTGAGGTACAAAATGAAGTATAAATGAAAGTAAAAAATAGAACATTCTGCAGGGATGTGGCGATTACATTTCTTTCTCGAGACCTCAATATATTCCTGTAGCACATCTTTATAAAAATCCAAATCATGTCAGATGTATACTATATTCACATAGTTACAAAGATTCTTTCGCTGATCAGTGTATCAGAAGTTAGTAAGAACCAGTTATTAAGTTAATAACCGAAGATAACCGGGCAGTCCTTGTATCTTTAAATATTAAAAGCATTATGTTAAATAATTCATGAATCAAAGAAACAAAAAGGAAAGAGAATTTTTCCAACTACATAAGAATGAAATGGCATTTTATAGCATATCAAATAAAGTTAGGATGCCTGTGGTAAAACTTCATTAATTACAAATGCTAAAAACAAGTAAAACTGGAAATTGATAGTACAGACATCTTTCCTAAAACAGAAAACCCACAAAACACAAGCATTTTTCTTAAGAAGTTGGTAAAACAGTTGTTTTAGAAATAAAGGTTTGAGCAAAGGTAGAGAAAATAGAAATACACAATAGCAAGGTGCTCTGTCATGTTAGAAATGGTTCTTAGAAAACACCAGTAATGAATTCTTGGTGAAAATGAGGAAAAGAAGACATGAATGTCAGGAATGAAAAGGACTTTACTACATGTCTTTCCCATTAAAGAACCTTTGTCAGCAAATATGATCATTTAGATAAAGCAGATTCCTTTAAAAATGAAACAATAAAATTAATGCAGGAATAAATAGATATATCTATAATTTTAAAACTACCTAAAAATAAAATTTAAGTCATAGGTGACTTTGCTGAATTAACCAGTTTATTATTTCAGGAATCAGAAAGAATGACAGGGTCCTAACTTAAATCCTGAAAGATGTGTAATAGTTACATAGTCTCACAGAAAAAGAGAGAAGAGGTTCTACTTGGGAAATGAGATAGTAAAGAATATTTACTACCTTGTGGTGTAGGAACAGAGCTGACAGGCAGGTGAGTTATTGATGGAAGAGCATTTTGACTAGAGTAGATAATGGTTTTTACTGATGTGTCATAGCCTGTAGAGAGCCGTGTATAGGTTGAGAAAGTCCCCTTAATCTGCTATTAGATAAAGTGAAGGTAAGGAAGAAGATTTAAAAAAGCAGCTTGGTTTTCTTTGGACTTTTTGTTTCTTACTAGGAAATGGATTTTTTTTTTTTTTTGTAATGTAGAATTTAAGGCTGTATAATAGTTTTTTATTTGACTGAAGTGTTTTGTTTCTCCTTTTTTTCTTTTCAGAAGAGTGGTTGAGACCGGTTATGAGGAAAGATAAGCAGGTGCTAGTTCATTGGGGGTTTTATCCAGACAGGTAATGTTGATCTACTATAAGATGTGGTATATTTCTTGCCAAAGCAAGTTGGAATTATTTGTATGTAATTTCATTTTCTAAAGAACAATTTTATTGATTTGTGTAGAGAAATCTCACTGTTCTCTTGTTTATTGACTATTTCATGGATTTTGCTAATTTTAATTTGGGAATTCATTGACGTCACATGGCTATATATGATATTAATACCTCATTAAAGTGATATCTTGGCTGCATTTTTTTGGGTCATTTAATTTTATTTTTTTTAATTATTATTAAATTGTATTAGTTTTAATGAACATTTACAGAGATTTTGGGTTTTCATTCATTCATTGTTGCACCGTTTTCTCTACCCTCCTCCCCAGTTTGTTCTTCTTCCCCCCCCCCCCCCCAATGCTGTTTTAATTTGTCCAGTTGCCACAGTGCTTGTCAAAGTCAGTTCTGATTAATCTCCTTTGTCAGTGTGTCCTTTGCCATTCCCTATCACTCCTCCCTGAGAGAGACTTCACCCTGATTCATAAGGAAAAGGGGATGGCGTATTCTCTTAGCTACTTCCTGCTGAAAAGGGACGCTGTAGGTTTCAGGGTGAAGATCTTCTCTCACTACTCTAAAGGGCCCCTTTGGCAGTAGGAAACACATAGACTATTATGGAGATTGATTTTGGAATTCAGATGCACTCTTATTGATTGTGCTTGGCCGTACATGTTCATATCCTTGAAGATTGGCTGCATTTTTATAAGATTTTTTTTTTTTCAATTTAGAAATAGAATAAATTTTTGGTAATTGAGATTTGGTACTTGGATAATTGGTAATTGAGATTTTTTTCTTCAAGAAACAGACTCACTGTCATCAAGTCAGAACTGACTCATAGCTTACCCACAAGCAGATTTTTAGAGGCAGTAAATCACACGGGAGATTGTCCATCTTTCTCCCATTTGGTATTATCTAACATAATTCATAGAATGCTTTAGTAGTAAAAATGTGAACAAGAAATACCAGAAACTGGAAGAGATGTTAGTGAGCAGAGTGGACTTTGTTGACTTGTGTGCTTGCCCCACTACAGAGAAAGAATGCGAGCTTTCCATGCACTTCATCTCCCTCTTCTGCTCCGGGGAGGCTTTTGTGTTGAGTCTTGTCACACCAAACGGTGGTTCTTTTTTGTTTTGTGAGTTTTTCAGGTCAACTCTGTCTTTTGGCTTTGTCCTTACTTCCTGCCATTTCATGCTGTTAGAATTAAATCCCATGCATATCATGTCAGAGAAAGCTGTTTTCAGCATGTATCTCAAAGATAGTTTTCTTGTTGTGTTGGTTTGGGGTTTTGCTTGTTGTTTTTTTTAATAGTAGCCATAAGATCACTGTAAAATGTAATTATTCTTTAATACTAAATAGAGAGTTCTGGGGGGCACAGTCCACAGAAATTGTGCTGCTACCTAAAAGGCACCCCTCTGTCAATACAGAACCTCCAGCTGATTTTTAAGTGAAAGATGGGCTGTCTCCTCAGCCGGAAGAACCCAGTGGAGGTTCAGCTATGAGTCAGTTTTGACTCAACGACAGTGAGTTTTAGTTAATATTAGATAGTCTGTGTTGCTTATCACATAAATGATGTATTTATGACTGATTTTTCTTTGAAGTATAATTCATTGTTATACCATACATACTTTTAGATGTGTAGGTTTCTCAGTCTTTCGGTTTTAGTTTATTATTTACAAAATGTCAATATTTGTCCTATATAGTTTAACAATTTTGTTATGTTTTTATATGTGCATCACAGTATCATATTTTAACAGACTTGTTCTCTGTTTTAAAATAGTACATTCATTCTAGAGGATGATCAGATTTGATTTCATTTTCATTTTGGAGAGTAATACACTTTGCATAGCTGTGAGTTCTTTAAGAGATAAAACACACAGTGTCTGTGCATTATGTGTAAGCTCATATGCATAGTCTTAACACAGGTTAAGTTAATTTATCCAAGAAAAATTATTTTGGTAATCAGCCTCTTCTGAACTCAAAATTTTGACAGGTTTACCTGAACTGATTTTTTAAGTCAATGTATGAACAAAAGCCTTCTAGAAAAGATTTCTAATTGCAGAGTGTATATAGTTGTTTAGTGTACTGCATGGTTTAAAATTGAGAAGAGAGTGCATCAGGGTTGTATTCTTTCTTCATACCTATTCAATCTTTACTCTGAACAAATTATCCAAGAAGCTGGACTCTGAAGAGGAGTGTGACATCAGGATTGAGGGAGACTCATCAATAACCTGGGTAATGTAGATGACACAGCCTTGCTTGTTGAAAGTGAGAAGGACTTGATGCATTTGTTGCAGAAGATCAAGGAATGGCTTCTCAATGTCAAGAAAACAATGATTTTTAACCACTGGACCATTAGGCAGCATCTTGATGGATAAAGGAGATTGGAACTGTCAGTACCTTCATCTTGCATGAGTCCACAATTAACACCCTTGGTACCAGCAGTCAGGAAATAAGGAAGATCCATTAGGGACCTCTCCATATTATTGAAGAATAGTGATGTCAGTTTGAGGACTAAGATGCGTCTGATTCAGGCCATAGTTTTTCTGATCATTTGCTATGCATCCGAGAGCTGGACAATGAATAAGGATGACAGAAAAAGAATTGATACCTTTGAGCTGTGATACTGGAGAAAAACATTGAACCATCCCATGGACGGTCAAAAGAACAAACTGATACTGTCTTGGAGAGGGTGCAGCCAGGGTGCTCTTTGGAGACAATAATGATGATATACTTCAGACATGTTGCTAGGAGGGCCTATTCTTTGTAGAGGGACATGATACTGGGAACGGTGGAGAAGAAGACCCTCAACCAGGTGGATTGACATGGTGACTGCTGCAGTGGTCTCTTGTGTCTCAGGAAGAGTGACGATGGTTCAGGACAGGACTGCGATCACATCTTTTGTTCATAGGGTCACTATGAGTCATAATTGATGGCACGTAACAACAATTACAACAACAGTGCTACTATAACAGAATTAAAGAGCCCTGTCTAATAGTGTATTATTATGTAGCATATGGGACTGCTAGTGTATTGGCAGTTAATTTTCATCAACTTGTCAGAGTGACAAAGATGTGAAAGATTTAGTCTTAAAACCTGATGGAAGGTTATTATGAGTCAGAACTAGCCTTAAAACATTGAGGATTTTAAAAACCCCAACAGACCAGAAAACTACAAGTAAAACTAGTGTTGAGAAACACATTCACTCTTTAATGGTTTGAGAGGCTGAATGTCTGAATTTAGGATGTCACATCTAGGGCTCAGTGGTGGAGTAAGCCATGTGGATATTTGAGGCTCACTGGATGGGTGTGAGGAGTGTTGCAGGCAGCAGGGAGCAGCACAGGCAAAGAAAAGGAGGCCACAGATGCCTAGCTTCTTGGACGGATGCCACCAAAGCTCGACTTGAGGAACATGAACAAAGGATGCAGAGCAGGAGATGAGATTACAGGAAGAGGATCTGATTGTGAGGCCTTGAAAAGCTGCTGTAATGATTTTTGTCATACATAGGAGCCTTGGAAAGGTTTTGAGCAATGTAGTGACTTAGTTTTCAAAAGGATCAATCTGTTTGTTGTGTGAGAAATCAGTTCCAGGAATTAAAAACAGAAGTAGGGAAACAGTTGAACAGACTCAAGGAGTTGAGAGATGGTGCCTGGACATGTTTTGAAGGTGGAACTGGTAGAATTTTTGGATGGTTTGGCTGTAAAATGTAATTAATAATGTGCAACAATTATGAAAATTTAGTTTTTTCATTAAAATAAAAATATTTTAAAAAAGATCTAGTAACTTTAAAAAAAAAAAATAAGATGTTGAGGTTGCATCCAGGTTTTTGGCCCCTGGTGCTGGCATGATGGAATTGGCATTGAGTGAAATGGGGTTGACTAGTTGGTGGACAGAGGAACATTACAAGTTGAGTTTTTATTATGTTAGCTTTCACAGTCTTAGTAGACATATCAAAAGGGAGACATAGATGTAGTCACTAGATTCATGAACCTAGAGATGTGAAAAGAGAGCAGATACTAAAGAATCTTCTTTATATGTGTGAAGCCATAGAACTGAACAGATCATCAAAAGAATGATACAAAGAGGAATGAGTCATCAAATTGAGCCATCTGTGGTGAAGCAGTTTGGGGGAAGAAAAAACTGACAATGGAGGTTATGAGAGGAAAGGCAGGAAGGATCAGGTGATGGGAGCCAGGTGAGGGAAGTGCTTCAGGAAGAGTAACGGACTAGGTAAAATTCTGTGTGATATGGACTAAGACTTGAACTTTCTGTTAGGTTTGTGAAAGGGTATTAGTGACCTTCAGTCATTTCCTGATAGAGAAGTAAAGACAAAAAACTTGTGATAATTTGCTATTTTTCTGTCATAGTA